AGAAAGAGACTGCCGTGGAAACTGTTGTGGAAACATCCAATACATTCTCAGTGCTACCCGACGAATGTGAGTCGACTACTGGGAATGTCACGACGAAAGACATTAAGGAAGGTACGAATATTGTTGTTGTTGGGGATAGCCAAGTTAGGTATATGGATAGGGCGTTCTGCTTGAAGGACAGGAGTAGGAGACAGAGAGTTTGCTTTCCTGGGGCTGGGATGGAGGATATTGTTAGCCGTCTGGATGACATCATGAGAGGTAATTGGAGCAATCCTATTATCTGTCTCAGTGCTGGAGGCAACGATGTTGGCAGACGTAGGAGTGAGGACCTGATTAGCAGGTATAGGTCAGCAATAGAAATAATTAGAAGTAAGGGTGGGAACCCTCTCATATGTGGTATTTTGCCAAGGAGGGGAGTTGGAAATGAATGGTTGTCCAGGGCAATTGGTGTCAATTGCTGGCTGGACAAATACTGTAAGGAAAATGCGGTAACATTCATTGACAACTGGGACCTCTTCTATGGCAGAAATGACATGTATGCTAGGGATGGGGTTCACTTATCTAGGTGTGGGGTGGGAGCACTGGCAACTGCAGTGGAGGGAGCAGTTAGGACTTTAAACTAGGAATAGTTAGTGGTATGGGTTTTGGCAGGAAAACAGTGAAGTCCCAGTGTAGTAATATTACGAGTTCTAGGGGAACTAGTAAAAATAAGAACGAGATAGATATTGAAAAGCCAGGGACCTTGGGTGATAAGGACAGTAATAGGTTTAGTAGAAAAATAGAAATGAGCAGGAAGGGTAAAGAGAAAGGAGAGTCTTTCAATGTTTATTATGCTAATTGCCGTAGTGCTAGGAATAAGATGGACGAGTTGAGATTAGTTGCTAGTGTAGGTAACATTGATATATTTGCCTTAACTGAGACGTGGTTTTAATTCAAAAGTTGGGACATGCCTGCGGAATGTCATATTCAGGGTTTTAAATTGTTCCAAGAAGATAGAAGTATTGGGAGGGGGGTGGGGTGGCATTGTATGTCCGAGATCGCTTGAACTGTTGCATAAAAACGGGTACTAAGTCTGAAGTAACACATACAGAATCTGTTTGGATAGAATTTTCAGAGGGGCATGAAAAACTGATTTTAGGGGTGATATACCATCCCCCAAACTTAGATAGGGACCAAGGGAAACTACTATGGGAGGAAATTAAGGCCACAAGGCACGATAATGTAGTAATTCTAGGAGACTTTAACTTTAGTCATGTTGATTGGAATTTCTTGACTGGGAATTTAGAATCATACGACTTCTTAGAAGTATTTCAGGATTGTTTTTTGAAGCAGTTTGTGACAGAACCTACAAGGGGAAATAACCTGCTTGACTTAGTTATGGCAAACAATGAATCCCTTGTTAATAATTTAGAAATTTCAGAGGAACTGGGTGCTAGCGACCACAAATCAATTACATTTAGCATTGAATGGAAGTACGATAGTAGCGATAACTCGGTAACAGTCCCAGATTTTCGCTTAGCAGATTACGATGGGCTTAGAAAACACTTATCTGTTGACTGGGGTAACGAAGAGAGCTATCAATATGACAGTTTTCTGAACACTATACATGCTGCTCAAAGAGCGTTTATCCCATATAAAGAAATTAGATCAAATAGAAATGACCCAAAATGGATGAATAATAGGCTCAAATATCTACTAGGGCATAAGAAAGGAATTTATAGGCGTATCAAAAGAGGTGAGGGTCATCTTATGAATCAGTATATTGACATTAAGAGGGACATTAAAAAGGGGATAAGAAAAGCTAAAAGGGACTATGAAATTAAAGTTGCTAGGGATTCTAAAACTAACCCAAAAAGTTTTTTCCAGGTCTATAGAACAAAAGTTAGAGATAAGATAGGTCCCTTTAAAAATAACTATGGGCACCTTACTGACAAAGAGAATGAAATGTGCTTGATTTTAAATAATTATTTTCTCTCAGTTTTTACACAGGAAGACACTAACAATATTCCAGTAATTAATTTTTACAGTGGGCTAGAAGAAGATAAATTATGTAACATCACAGTCACTAGTGAGATGGTTGTGAAGCAGATAGACAGACTGAAGCAAAATAAGTCGCCGGGTCCTGATGAGGTTTTTTCAAGGGTTCTTAAGGAATGCAAAATGGAACTCTGTGAACCATTAACTAATATTTTTAATTTATCTCTTCAAACAGGTGTCGTGTCTGATATGTGGAAGATGGCTAATGTAACTCCTATTTTTAAAACAGGGGACAAGTCGTTACCGTCAAATTACCGCCCAATAAGCCTGACCTCAATTGTAGGCAAATTACTAGTCAATTATAGCCGAGATTATAAGAAGCCATCTCGATAAGCATAGCTTGATTAATGATACTCAGGATGGATTCACAAGAGGCCGGTCTTGTCTAACTAATTTATTAACTTTCTTCAGTAAAGCTTTTGAGGCTGTTGACCACAATAAAGTATTTGATATTATTTACTTAGATTTTAGTAAGGCTTTTGATAGAGTTCCGCACCATAGACTGTTAAAGAAAGTGGCAGCTCATGGAATTGAGGGAAAAGTGCTCTCGTGGATCGAGTCATGGCTCAGTGACAGGAAGCAGAGTGTGTCCATAAATGGGGTTAAATCCGAGTGGGGATCTGTAACAAGTGGCGTTCCACAGGGATCAGTCTTGGGCCCGTTGTGTTTATAATATATATCAATGATCTTGATGAGGGAATTACTAGTGATATGAGCAAATTCGCCGATGACACAAAGATAGGTAGGATAATTGATTCAAACGTAGATGTTATGGAACTTCAGGAGGATTTAAACAAACTCTATTCTTGGTCAGAAAAGTGGCAGATGCAGTTCAATGTAGATAAATGCAAGGTTCTAAGCTTGGGAGTGCCCATAACCCTAGTACTTATAAGTTAAATGATGTAGAACTTAGCCATACAGATTGCGAAAAGGACTTGGGGGTTATGGTGAGCAGCAACCTTAAACCAAGACAGCAATGCCTAAGCGTACGTAATAAGGCAAATAGATTACTGGGATTTATATCAAGAAGTGTAAGCAACAGAAGTCCAGAGGTCATACTGCAGCTTTATACATCATTAGTAAGGCCTCACCTAGATTATGCAGCTCAGTTCTGGTCTCCGTATTACAAAATGGACATAAACTCGTTAGAAAACATTCAGCGTAGGATGACTAAATTAATACATAGCATTAGAAATCTTCCGTATGAAGAAAGACTGAAGACTCTTAAGTTACATTCACTTGTTAGACGAAGAATGAGGGGAGACCTGATTGAAGTGTATAAGTGGAAGATAGGTATTAATAAAGGGGATATTAATAAGGTCTTGAGGATGTCTCTCCAAGAGAGAACCCGCAGTAATGGATTTAAATTAGATAAGTTTAGATTTAGAAAGGACATAGGAAAGTATTGGTTTGGAAATAGGGTAGTTGATGAGTGGAACAGTCTACCTAGTTGGGTTATTGAGGCTGGGACTTTGGGTAGTTTCAAATCTAGGTTGGATAAGTACATGAGTGGGAGGGGTTGGATTTGAGTGGGACTTTCACATCAGAGCTTATTTCTTGGGTGGCATTGAAAACTGGGTTGGGCAAATGTTTGTTAGTGGGATGAATTGTAAAGGACCTGCCTAGTATGGGCCAGCAAGCCTCCTGCAGTGTTCCTCCTTTCTTATGTTCTTATGTTCTAAGAAATTACATTTAGCACGTGAGAGGGCAGAGCCTGTGAAATGAAGGGTAGCCAAGACGGGAAAACGAATTATGAAGAGTGGAAATTTCTGCTGGAAGGAACTGAGGATCACAGATGCGGAGGGCACAGAGAAAGAGGGAGATAAGAACACTTTTCTTGACAGGGGGAAGCATGATAAGAAAAGTAGTGAATGTACATGCCACTGTCCATAGGTTTTCGGTAAATGAAAAAGAAAAAACCTGTATCTGAGCGGTGGACATGAACATCAAGGAAAGGAAGCAAGGAATTTTTTTCCCATTCAGCTTTAAACTTAATGGAAGGGGCAAGATTATTAAGAGCTTCAAGAAAAGGTTGGAAGAGACTGGAGTCATGAGGCCACAGAGCAAAGATGTCATCCACATAGAGGAGCCAGAGTGAAGGTTGCACATCGATGGTAGGAAGAAGAACAGTCTCGAAGTTTTTTTTTTGTTTTTTTTCAACAAGTCGGCCGTCTCCCACCGAGGCAGGGTGACCCAAAAAAGAAAGAAAATCCCCAAAAAGAAAATACATTCATCATCATTCAACACTATCACCACACTCACACATTATCACTGCTTTTGCAGAGGTGCTCAGAATACAACAGTTTAGAAGCATATATGTATAAAGATACACAACATATCCCTCCAAACTGCCAATATCCCAAACCCCTCCTTTAAAGTGCAGGCATTGTACTTCCCATTTCCAGGACTCAAGTCCGACTATATGAAAATAACCGGTTTCCCTGAATCCCTTCACTAAATATTACCCTGCTCACACTCCAACAGATCGTCAGGTCCCAAGTATCATTCGTCTCCATTCACTCCTATCTAACACGCTCATGCACGCTTGCTGGAAATCCAAGCCCCTCGCCCACAAAACCTCCTTTACCCCCTCTTTCCAACCCTTTCGAGGACGACCCCTACCCCTCCTTCCTTCCCCTATAGATTTATATGCTTTCCATGTCATTCTACTTTGATCCATTCTCTCTAAATGACCAAACCACCTCAACAACCCCTCTTCTGCCCTCTGACTAATGCTTTTATTATCTCCACACCTTCTCCTAATTTCCACACTCCGAATTTTCTGCATAATATTTACACCACACATTGCCCTTAGACAGGAAGTCTCGAAGTATTCCATGTAAAGATTAGCAGGGACAAGAGAGAGAGGAGAGCCCATAGCGACACCGAAGGTTTGAGAATATTTCCCTTGGAAGGAAAAGGAGTTAGTTCACACAGAGGCGGATAAGATCAAGAAAGACATCAATAGGTATAGGGAGATGTAGAAACCCTTCATGGGCCTTCTCTCTTGATTTCCTTAGAGATTCTCCAGAGCAGTCACTTAGATTTTGACCTCATTACACACCTTTCCATATCATTAAAAGTGTTGTAAACCATCAACTGAAGTCTTGCTCTCTATATAATAAAACACTGTTACTTCAGGTACACAAGAAAACTGTACCTTCATAAATTCTTCTCCAACCACAGGGAGTTCAGAACACATTTCCCATAAATACTATGGTCTCATGTCACTTGAAAAAACCTGGAATTAAAAAATATGTTCAGTCAGCATAGCCACCATTAAAACTAGAAAATCAACTTGCCTTGTGAAAGCCTTTAACTAAAATGTCTGGGACCCAGTCAGGTGGTACAGTACAGATATAAAGAACACTGTATAGGCTGGCACAGCACTGTTTATGATGTGTTATTAGTATCATGCATGGCAGTTTCAGTCTTGCTGGAGGTAATGAGATATTTTCTAACATGTTTTCTAACTTGTAAAGTAATAATCCATGTAAACTACAGTGAAACTAACCTTGCTCTTTTGGCCTGTGGAAAGCTTGACAATTACACCTTCAGTAATGCCCAGCAGCTTGGCTACTTTTAGCTCTTCCTCTCCCAGTGCCATATACTATCCAGGAAATATAAGAAAATTATTTGGTCTTTTTGAATACTGGTAAACTTTACAAAATATTCATGTTTAAAAAGTATATATTCTTGCTTAAAAATTAATTACATAATAGTGCTCAGTTTGAAAACTTGGTCCTCATACAGAGATGCAATCCCTTGACATTCTCTGTAGGATGCGCAAATTCATCATAGCACCAATAGTGATAAGGTAGAGGAATGAGAAGTCAACATGCAACGAGAACTAAAAGATGTATTTTAATAAGTAGATTATAAAAAATATAGCTTTGTAAGAACAAACTTTTTTTTACATTGAAAAAGACAAAATACAACTCTGGATTCTCATTGCTTTGCTGAAGTCTTAATGTGATAAATGTTTTGGCTCTGCTTCTCTTGCAGTTCTTATCTACAAGAATATTAAAAAGCCACATTTTGCTCTAGGTACCTGCTTAGACTCTCTGACGTACTTCAGCCAGAGCGCTCTGTAAGATACCAAAATCAGAGGCAGATCCAAAATTCTAGCCAAGAAAGGAGAAACTGGACATGGGTACATGGAAAATAAGTCACAGTACCACAGCTTGAGTAATTCTATCTTAAGACATGTCATGACTTGACGATAGTGAAGGATGGACAAACATCTAGTTTTCTCTCAAAAACGAGATAATTGTGGACCTGAGACACTATAATTACATGAACAGTGTGTAACAGCGAAGCTGAACAGGGGAGTGAATTTTTACACTTTTTTTTTTCAACACTTCGGCCATTTCCCACCAAGGCAGGGTGACCCAAAAAAGAAGATACTTTCAACATCATTCACCCCATCACTGTCTTCCCAGAGGCATGCCTAGACTACAGTTAAAAAATTGCTACAGACCAACTCCCCTCCTTCAGAATGCAGGCATTGTACTTTCTACCTCCAGAACTCGAGTCCAGCTACCTGGTTTCTCTGAATCCCTTCATAAAAGTTACTCTGTGCACACTCCAACAACACGTCAAGTCATAAAAATAATTCATCTCCACTTGCTCCTGTCTAACATACTCACACACGCTTGCTGAAAGTCCAAGCCCCTTGCACACAAAACCTTTATCCCCTCCCTCCAACCTTTCCTAGGATGACCACTACCCTACCTTCCTTCCATTACAGATTTATATCCCTTCCAAGTCATTCTATTTTGTTCCATTCTCTCCAAATGTCCACACCACCTCAACAACCTTTCCTCTGCCCTCTGGATAGTACTTTTAGAAACCCCCTGCACCTCTTTCTAATCTCCAAGCCATGGATTCTCTGCATTATATTCACACCGCACGTTGTCCTCAGACACGACATCTTCACTGCCTCCAGCCTTCTTGTTGCAACCTTCACTACCCATATAAAAGTGTTAGTACCACTATACTCTGATATATTCCCCTCTCTGCTTCCACAGATAACATTCTTTGTCTCTAGCCCAGTGGCTAACGTACTGGCCTGGAGTTTTACGACTCACTAGCAGTGAGTTCAAGCCCCACCCTCACCGTGGTTTGTTTGCAATCGTGTTATTACGATTTTGTGAGTTATGATTCACCTCGTCTTTCATAGACCCATTTGCTGACAAGTCCACTCCCAAATATCTGAATACATTCACTTCCTCCATAGTGTTAAGTTCTGAATATTCACTTTACCAACACCAATCTCTGGCTTAATCTTTTCTAAAAATTCACTGGGGAGTTTCACATCTGTGTATTAATACTGCACTATGAGGGGTACTGATCCATATAATACCCATGCTGAAGGAAGGGGATCTCCAGTGACAAAATATACAGCCCCACCCTATTCTGTTGCTTAACTTCTATCTCCATGTGGGTTTTAGAACACTGTATGACACCTTAGTAATATATGCGTGCATGTATGTTTGGAAAAACATTTATTACGAGTGATAATTATGTATAGCATACCATGAATTTTATGTACAGTGTATGTTTCAGAACTTGGACCAATATAGTCTGGTCAGTGTGATGATAATAATAACAATAATAATAATAATAAGGGAGGAGGAAGTTCGGGTGAGATATAAGCGACTATTGGCAGAAAGGTGGGCTAGTGCAAAGATGAGTAGTGGGAGGGGGGGTTGAAGAGGGTTGGAATAGTTTTAAAAATGCAGTATTAGAATGTGGGGCAGAAGTTTGTGGTTATAGGAGGGTGGGGGCAGGAGGAAAGAGGAGTGACTGGTGGAATGATGAAGTAAAGGGTGTGATAAAAGAGAAAAAGGTAGCTTATGAGAGGTTTTTACAAAGAAAAAGTGTTATAAGAAGAGCAGAGTATATGGAGAGTAAAAGAAAGGTGAAGAGAGTGGCGAGAGAGTGCAAAAGGAGAGCAGATGAAAGAGTGGGAGAGGCACTGTCAAGAAATTTTAATGAAAAAAAAAAAAAATTTGGAGCGAGTTAAACAAGTTAAGAAAGCCTAGGGAAAGTATGGATTTGTCAGTTAAAAACAGAGTAGGGGAATTAGTAGATGGGGAAAGGGAGGTATTAGGTAGATGGCGAGAATATTTTGAGGAACTTTTAAATGTTGAGGAAGAAAGGGAGGCGGTAATTTCATGCACTGGCCAGGGAGGTATACCATCTTTTAGGAGTGAAGAAGAGCAGAATGTAAGTGTGGTGGAGGTACGTGAGGCATTATGTAGAATGAAAGGGGTAAAGCAGCTGGAACTGATGGGATCATGACAGAAATGTTAAAAGCAGGGGGAATATAGTGTTGGAGTGGTTGGTACTTTTGTTTAATAAATGTATGAAAGAGGGGAAGGTACCAAGGGATTGGCAGAGAGCATGTATAGTCCCTTTATATAAAGGGAAAGGGGACAAAAGAGATTGTAAAAATTATAGAGGAATAAGTTTACTGAGTATACCAGGAAAAGTATACGGTAGGGTTATAATTGAAAGAATTAGAGGTAAGACAGAATGTAGGATTGCGGATGAGCAGGGAGGCTTCAGAGTGGGTAGGGGATGTGTAGATCAAGTGTTTACATTGAAGCATATATGTGAACAGTATTTAGATAAAGGTAGGGAAGTTTTTATTGCATTTATGGATTTAGAAAAGGCATATGATAGAGTGGATAGAGGAGCAACGTGGCAGATGTTGCAAGTATATGGAATAGGTTAGGTTACTAAATGCTGTAAAGAGTTTTTATGAGGATAGTGAGGCTCAGGTTAGGGTGTGTAGAAGAGAGGGAAAATACTTCCTGGTAAAAGTAGGTCTTAGACAGGGATGTGTAATGTCACCATGGTTGTTTAATATATTTATAGATGGGGATGTAAAAGAAGTAAATGGTAGGGTGTTCGGGAGAGGGGTGGGGTTAAATTATGGGGAATCAAATTCAAAATGGGAATTGACACAGTTACTTTTTGCTGATGATACTGTGCTTATGGGAGATTCTAAAGAAAAATTGCTAAGGTTAGTGGATGAGTTTGAGAATGTGTGTAAAGGTAGAAAGTTGAAAGTGAACATAGAAAAGAGTAAGGTGATGAGGGTATCAAATGATTTAGATAAAGAAAAATTGGATATCAAATTGGGGAGGAGGAGGAGTATGGAAGAAGTGAATGTGTTCAAATACTTGGGAGTTAACGTGTCGGCGGATGGATTTATGAAGGATGAGGTTAATCATAGAACTGATGAGGGAAAAAAGGTGAGTGGTGTGTTGAGGTATATGTGGAGTCAAAAAACGTTATTTGTGGAGGCAAAGAAGGGAATGTATGAAAGTATAGTAGTACCAACACTCTTATATGGATGTGAAGCTTGGGTGGTAAATGCAGCAGCGAGGAGATGGTTGGAGGCAGTGGAGATGTCCTGTCTAAGGGCAATGTGTGGTGTAAATATTATGCAGAAAATTCGGAGTGTGGAAATTAGGAGAAGGTGTGGAGATAATAAAAGCATTAGTCAGAGGGCAGAAGAGGGGTTGTTGAGGTGGTTTGGTCATTTAGAGAGAATGGATCAAAGTAGAATGACATGGAAAGCATATAAATCTATAGGGGAAGGAAGGAGGGGTAGGGGTCGTCCTTGAAAGGGTTGAAAAGAGGGGGTAAAGGAGGTTTTGTGGGCGAGGGGCTTGGACTTCCCGCAAGCGTACATGAGCGTGTTAGATAGGAGTGAATGGAGACGAATGATACTTGGGACCTGACGATCTGTTGGAGTGTGAGCAGGGTAATATTTAGTGAAGGGATTCAGGGAAACCGGTTATTTTCATATAGTCGGACTTGAGTCCTGGAAATGGGAAGTACAATGCCTGCACTTTAAAGGAGGGGTTTGGGATATTGGCAGTTTGGAGGGATATGTTGTGTATCTTTATACGTATATGCTTCTAAACTGTTGTATTCTGAGCACCTCTGCAAAAGCAGTGATAATGTGTGAATGTGGTGAAAGTGTTGAATGATGATGAAAGTATTTTCTTTTTGGGGATTTTCTTTTCTTTTTTGGGTCACCCTGCCTCGGTGGGAGACGGCCGACTTGTTGAAAAAAAAAAAAAAAAAAAAAAAAAAAAAAAAAAAAATTAATATATATATATATAATATATATATATATAATATATAATATATATATAATATATATATAATATATATATATATATATATATATAATAGGCCGGACTTGAGTCCTGGAGATGGGAAGTACAGTGCCTGCACTCTGAAGGAGGGGTGTTAATGTTGCAGTTTAAAAACTGTAGTGTAAAGCACCCTTCTGGCAAGACAGTGATGGAGTGAATGATGGTGAAAGTTTTTCTTTTTCGGGCCACCCTGCCTTGGTGGGAATCGGCCGGTGTGATAATAAAAATAAAAAATAAAAAAATATATATAATATATATATAATATATATATATATATATATATATATATATATATATATATATATATATATATATATATATCACTGCTTTTGCAGAGGTGCTCAGAATACAACAGTTTAGAAGCATATACGTATAAAGATACACAACATATCCCTCCAAACTGCCAATATCCTAAACCCCTCCTTTAAAGTGCAGGCATTGTACTTCCCATTTCCAGGACTCAAGTCCGACTATATGAAAATAACTGGTTTCCCTGAAACCCTTCACTAAATATTACCCTGCTCACACTCCAACAGATCGTCAGGTCCCAAGTACCATTCGTCTCCATTCACTCCTATCTAACATGCTCACGCACGCTGCTGGATAAATAAAATCAAAGGGTTAAAAGTTCCTAAATCAACAAAGTGCTCTCAAGATAAAACAAATATAATGTATGTAGTCTACATGAATACCAGATTTTGTCTCAAAAACAAACAAATATGTAATTAGATAACTTACTGCCTTGTAGTAAACATCAGGTATGATACTGACAGAGTTGACAATATCATAAGATATGACAAGATATAAGAGATGCAGATGACTGTTGACAGCCAAATTCTCCCGGGCCAAACACAAGTCCTTGTATAAATGGCTTGCCAAGCTCAGATCAATACTACCTGAACATAATTAATATGAATTAATACTCACATTCTTTGTCACTAACAATTTCCATCAATAGCAAATATTTATTTTCTAGTATGTTCAAGACATGTACAACACATAGGGTATTTTATGACGGTAACTCTTCACCCATCAGACTATCAATCCTAGGGGACAGAACATCCTAGGTGTTACACATGTGTCTTTACCCCACAGTCAGTCAGAAATGAAGTAACTAGCACTTGAAGCACTAATTTTTTTCACTGAATAATAAAACTTTATTTAAAACAAAACATAATCATGCCTGAAGATCACTACAAACATGTACTTAGAAGAGGAACCTTATGACGACATTTCAGTTGATCCTGGACCAAATGGTCCAGAATCAACTGGACTAAAACTAAAATCTGCAAATACAAAAATCAAGCCCACACAACAAATGTTTCAGATTTGGATTCATTTTGGCTTTCAGAGACCCTATCTTTGTAATATTTCACTTAAATCTGGTTAATATTGACTTTCATAAGAAATGTTGACTAAAATAATGAAAATTGGCTGTCAGAAAAACATTAGACAAATCAATTTGCTTGCTACTCACTAGTAAAATCTTTGAAAAATTTAAATGTGAGAATACAAATAGATGCCCCTCAATTTATAGGAACAACTATCCTGCAGCATGTTAGACAATCTACTCTTTCAACCAGGTGTTCATAATTTCATTACTGTTTAACACACTGGATATTTCCTACTAAAGCAGAAAGGTCCAAAGAGAGAAAACATTCAGCATTGCTCATTCAACAGCTGTCTTTACAGAAGAGCACAGGCTTGATGTTCAAGCCCCTACCTATAGAAACAGCCTTCACCAACATCACTTGTACCCTTCCTGTAACAGCCCCACCACCACCACCTTCCATCCACCCCTGATTTCTATGCCCTCTTGGCCACTTCATCTTGCTCCACGCTTTCTAAATAACCTAGCTATCTCTACAACCACTTTTCTGCTTCCTGAATTATATACTTATATCATCTAACTTCCTTGCTCCTTGTTTTTTACATGATACTCACACTCCATTTACAATGCCTTAAGTCACAGTATTATGTCTTTTTTGTTATTTAGGGAACACATTTGAAAAACAGTTGCGGAGATCTTCCATGGGGGATATGACAGTTTAAAATGTGAATATTTCAGATTGAAGTTGTGGTCACAGGGTGAGCTCAACCTTGGGATGTCACAGAAATTGATATCCAGGGAGCTCAAACCCTCCCATTCGCCTTAAGATCATCATCAATAATCTCAAAAATATCCTGACTGGCTTTACTTGGTCTATTCAAGCAGTTTACTCTATTTTTTCTAACTACACTATTCACTACAAGCCACCACAAAAATCACTTGAATATGTATTATACAACTATATTATTAAGTATACTGAGTATACCAGGAAAAGTGTACGGTAGGGTTATAATTGAAAGAATTAGAGGTAAGACAATGTAGAATTGCGGATAAGCAAGGATGTTTCAGAGTGGGTAGGGGATGTGTAGATCAAGTGTTTACATTGAAACATACATGTGAACAGTATTTAGATAAAGGTAGGGAAGTTTTTATTGCATTTATGGATTTAGAAAAGGCATATGATAGTGGATAGGGAAGCAATGTGGCAGATGTTGCAAGTATATGGAAAAGGTGGTAAGTTACTAAATGCTGTAAAGAGTTTTTATGAGTACAGTGAGGCTCGGGTTAGGGTATGTAGAAGAGAGGGAGACTACTTCCCAGTAAAAATAGGTCTTAGACAGGGATGTGTAATGTCACCATGGTTGTTTAATATATTTATAGATGGGGTTGTAAAAGAAGTAAATGCTAGGGTGTTCAGCAGAGGGGCGGGATTAAATTATGGGGAATTAAATACAAAATGGGAATTGACACAGTTGCTTTTTGCTGATGATACTGTGCTTATGGGAGATTCTAAAGAAATATTGCAAAGGTTAGTAGATGAGTTTGGGAGTGTGTGTAAAGGTAGAAAGTTGAAAGTGAACATAGAAAAAGAGTAAGGTGATGAGGGTATCAAATGATTTAGATAAATAAAAATTGGATATCAAATTGGGGAGGAGGAGTATGGAAGAAGTGGATGTTTCCAGATATTTGGGAGTTGACATGTCAGCGGATGGATTTATGAAGGATGAGCCTAATCATAGAACTGATGAGGGAAAAAAGGTGAGTGGTGCGTTGAGGTACATGTGGAGACAAAAACATTATCTATGGAGGCAAAGAAGGGAATGTATGAAAGTATAGTAGTACCAACACTCTTATATGGGTGTGAAGCTTGGGTTGTGAATGCAGCAGCGAGGAGGCGGCTGGAGGCAGTGGAGATGTCCTGTCTAAGGGCAATGTGTGGTGTAAATATTATGCAGAAAATTCGGAGTGTGGAAATTAGGAGAAGGTGTGGAGTTAATAAAAGTATTAGTCAGAGGGCTGAAGAGGGGTTGTTGAGGTGGTTTGGTCATTTAGAGAGAATAGATCAAAGTAGAATGACATGGAGAGCATATAAATCTGTAGGGGAAGGAAGGCGGGGTAGGGGTCGCCCTCGAAAAGGTTGGAAGGAAGGGGTAAGGGAGGTTTTGTGGGCGAGGGGCTTGGGCTTCCAGCAGGCGTGCATGAGTGTGTTCGATAGGAGTGAATGGAGACGAATTGTATTTGGGACCTGACGATCTGTTGGAGCGTGAGCAGGGTAATATTTAGTGAAGGGATTCAGGGAAACCGGTTATTTTTACATAGCTGGACTAAAGTCCTGGAAATGGGAAGTACAATGCCTGCACTCTAAAGGAGGGGTTTGGGATATTAGCTGTTTGGAGGGATATGTTGTGTATCTTTATACGTATATGCTTCTAAACTGTTGTGTTCTGAGCACCTTTGCAAAAACAGTGATTATGTGTGAGTGAGGTGAAAGTGTTGAATGATGAAAGTATTTTCTTTTTGGGGATTTTCCTTCTTTTTGGATCACCCTGCCTCGGTGGGAGACAGCCGACTTGTTAAAAAAAAAAAATTATTTTAAAATATGATTCTGGCATATAGTATATACAGTACTAACAGAAGGAACCGTGTTGCCTCTGACATTGTCTTTGGTTGAAAACGGGCATTTTCTAGGGTGTTTGTTTTTGGCTGTTTCTTGGTATCAATTGATAGAATAGATGGCATACTATTAAAAGAGATAATTTTGATCAGTTTCAGACCAGAAGCAGCTTGAAGCAGGGTTCAAATTGGTGAAAATATTCAATTTTTGGTGATTTTCCTTAAGAAAGGTAGAGCCTATTTCCCCCTCCCAGTCTGTTTTGAGTTTTTTTTTTTTCCTAGGTCTGCTTCAACTATTAGGGCAGCCTAAACCATGACCAATTATATTTTATTTTTGGGTGATGGATTAAAATGGAGGGCAAGTTTTTGATAGGGGTGGCATGAGGAAGTGATTAATGAAAGAGGAATGGTTTCTTTGTTGGGTGGAATATCCACTGTGCTTATTTTGAACTTTGTGTAAAATTGGCCAAATTACTCATTTCTGTGCACTTCATAGGGTAGTTCTCATTTATGAATGGGCAGTTTCTTATACGTAATCGAAAGAACGAAAGGCATACTAGCAAAATAGCTAGAACTGACTCAAACTGAGAACTGAATTGACTTAAAGTAAGACTCAAAATGAAGAAAATCACCAATGCATTCATTGCATCAGGACTGCCCCAACTTTGTACCTAGGTAATACAGTAAGTTTTCCCAAAAATGTCTCATCTGGCTCCAATACCTTCAGGGAAAGATTTTCTACCATTTAAAAAGACTTTTTTTTAATCGTTTCACTATCAGCACTCTTAATTTCAAGATCACGACAGTGAAAGGGCTTTTCATTTACAACACTGAATACTGTAAGTTCATACTGCGATTCTTTTCTGTCTCATTTTTGTTAATATTAATAATTAACATAACAGTCAGGAAAGAATGGCTATGGTAGAATGCCTTATTTAATTTGGTCTATCATCATAACTCTGAAAACTAGACTGTCAACCTTATGTGAAAATTATTTATTTCTTATCTATTTAGAAACCATGTATTTTCTTAATTTTCAGGATTCCAATCTTCCAACTATTGCTATAATATCTTAGGCAGCCAAGTATTAGATACCTGCAAAAAAATAAATTCTTTCTTAGACTGGAGTTGACCACAGTCCTACAACCACTGGAAAATTTAAACTAAATGAAGAAAAAAATTACACCTCTGCTCGTGTAGCTACTAACAGGTACAATAATTAAAAATTAGGTAATTACAAACCAGTTTCTTTACTCTAAAGAATTGTTAACTGTTGATTTCTACCCTAAGATACTTATAATCTATAACAAAGAGCAACACAATATACAGTACCTTTGATAGCCGCTCGGCCAAATCTACTGACCACAAATATATCATCATCAGTAAATGGACTACTGAGCTCTGGTGTGTTGTCCATTGACTTTGATGCTGGTGTAATAGAAATTCTTTTACTAAATTCTTCACAAGGCTGATGACATCCTGCACTCTCTAAAACAAGAAAAACACATCACAACTTCAATCTTTTAACAGGTTTTTTATAATGTGTAAAAATTAAGGAAAACTACTACTTTACATGCTACTTTTTATGACCCAAAATAATTCAGCAAGAAAATTGAATTCATCCTTAAATTGAAAAAAAAAAAAAAAATAATCATACAATGAAACAAAATATTTTTCACCCTGCCTCGGTGGGAGACGGCCAACTTGTTGAAAAAAAAAAAATAGAGAATATACAAAAACTACACCTGTCAATCTTTTTTCTTCATTCAGTTATGTTCAAATTTTATATTATTTTTTATTAATACATCGGCCATTTCCCACCAAGGTAGGGTGACCTGAGAAAGAATAACTTTCATCATTCAATCCATCACTGTCTTGCCTGAGGCACACTTACACTACAGTTAAAAAACTGCAACATTAACACCCCTCCTTCAGAGTGCAGGCACTGTACTTCCCATCTCCAGGACTCAAGTCCAGCCTGCCAATTTCCCTGAATCCTTTCATAAATATTACCCTGCTCACACTCCAACAGCACGTCAAGTCCTAAAAACCATTTGTCTCCATTTGCTCCTATCTAACACACTCATGCATGCTTGCTGGAAGTCCAAGCCCCTCGCACACAAAACCACCTTTACCCACCTCCCTCCAACCTTTCCTAGGCTGACCTCTACCCCGCCTTTCCTCCACTACAGATTTATACACTCTCGAAGTCATTCTATTTTGTTCTATCCTCCTACTCTACGTGTACGAACTACCTCAGCAACCCCTCCTCAACCCTCTGGATAATAGTTTTAGTAATCCTGCACCTCCTAATTTCCAAACCATGAATTCTCTGCATTATATTCACACCACACATTGCCCTCAGACACAACATCTTCACTGCCTCCAGCCTTCTTGTTGCAACATTCACCACCCATGTACTGACATTTTTGGTACAAACATCAGCATCTACTATATGAAAAAAAAAAAAAGAGAGATGTATGTACACTGGTCCCAGCCTACAGACAGAACCTGTTTAAGCGAAAGCACTGTCTGAACCACTTGCTATGATTTACAAAAGGTCAATGAACACAGGGAAGTTGCCAAGGATCTGGAAGACAGCAACCATCATACCTATATTCAAGAAAGGAGATAGGCAGAAGGAACTGAACTACAGTCCAGTTTTACTGACATGTATACCAAGCAAGGTAATGGATAAGGTACTCAAGAGAGTAGTAGAGCACTTGGAGAGAAGTGATTTCATAAACAACCAACATGGGTCCAGAGATGGCAAGTTGCATCTTGCAACTATTTGGAATTCTATGACAAAGCAACAGGAAAGAGAGGGTTTGATGGATTGTATTTTTTTTTAGATTGTAAGCAGGCATCTGGTACTATACCTCACATGAGACTAGAGCAAAAACTTGAGAAGCAAACAGGAATAACTGGGCACATACTCTGGTGGATCAAAGAGTACCTCAAGGGTAGGAAGCAAAGAGCAATTGCCTGGGAAGAGATGTCAGAATGGGTAAGAGTAACAAGAGGTGTACTGCAAGGTTTGGTATTAAGACCAGTGATGGTTCTGGTTTATGTGAACACATACCAGATAGAATTGAGCCAGATGTACTGTAGCTATTTGTTGATAATGTAAACTAATGAGAATTCAAACAGACGAGGACAGGGAAAGGCTGCAAACAGATCTGGACAAACTGCAGGACTGGTCAGATAAGTAGTTGCTTGAATTCAACCCCAGCTAATACAAGGTTAGAGGAAGATTGGGAAGGGACCAGAAGACCATATACAGTATAGACTATGGGGACAAAGGCTGCAGACCTCATTGAAGGAGAAGGAACTGGGAATAAGCAGTGCCTACCATATCACCAGAATCACACATCAACCAAATAACCTGTGACCAATGCTTGCCTGACAAATCTAAGAGTGGCATACAGGAATCTCAACAAAGAATCATTCCAGATGCTTTATACAACATATGTCAAGCTCATCTTGGAATATGCATTACTAGTATGGAACCCACACCTGTGGAGGCACATTAAGAAATTGGAGGAAGCACAAAAATATGCAATGAGACTAGTTTTACTGCCAAGGAGTACAAGCTATGAAAAATAGCTAAAGGAAATGAATTTAATGACCCTAGAGGACAAAAGGCCCAGGGAATGTATGATATACACAAAAACTCAATAGGAATTGATAAGGAAGACAGCAACAGGCTATTTGAGAGGCAGGGGCACAACTGAAAGTTAAATACACAGATGAGTAACAGGGATATCAGGAAGTGCTTTTTCAGTCTCAGGGTGGTCAGGATGTGGAATGACCTTGATACCAAACTAATGCACAATTATCTTGCTCATCTATTTGTTGGTGCTGTATACCATTATTATAATGAAGCAGCAATGAGTCTGCTGAAGAAAGCCAAGATGTAACAGGGACTGAAGAACTTTACAAGTTTGATTTTGATAGACATGAAGCAATTGTAGCCAGCATTCTTAACAATAGCGCGTCACAGACATCTACCTCGGGATCCTTTTCCAAAACACAAGAGCAGCAGCATCCAAAAAGAAACGTGCTGATATTTGTTATTAGCAAGTGTAAGACGGAAACCTGTAATTGTTTTACATGATGGAAGGACTGCTGGTGTCTTTTTTTCTGTCTCAAACATGCAAGGTTTCAGGTACACCTTGCTACTCTTATTTACACTTAGGTCACACTACATATGCATGTACAAGCATATATATACACACACACCCCTCTGGGTTTTCTTCTATTTTCTTACTAGGTCTTGTTCTTGTTTATTTCCATTTATCTCCATGGCGAAGTGGAACAGAATTCTTCCTCCGTAAGCCATGCTTGTCGTGAGAGGCAACTAAAATGCCAAGAGCAAGGGTCGAGTAACCCCTTCTTCTGTATTCATTAATAAATTTAAAAAAGAGAAACTTTCGTTTTTTATTTCTGGGCCTCCCTGCCTCTGTGGGATACAGCCGGTTTGTTGAAAGATGATGATGTGTGTTAATACAAAAATAAACACAGAAATAAACATGTATATGGTAATGGCATTACTGCCAGAAAGAAATTGGAAAGAAAATGATAGTTTTCCATCTCTGAGTTCATATTCTCTTCAGTAGAGAGCAAAAGATTGTTCAGTATTGGAGGGAACATCTACTCTGTTCACAGGAACGGATTAGCTTTTAAAATAGGAAGATGCTGCAGCAAGGAGGCAGCTTGAGGCAATGGAGATGTTATGTCTAAGGGCAATGTGTGGTGTAAATATTATGCAGAGAATTTGTAGTGTGGAAATTAGGAGGAAGTGTGGAGTTACTAAAGTATTATTCAGAGGGCAGAGGAGGGGTTATTGAGGTGGAGCAAAATAGGATGACTTTGAGGGTGTATAAATCTGTAGTGGAGGGAAGGAGGGGTAGGGGTCATCCTAGAAAAGGATGGGAGGGGGATGAAAGAGGTGTTGTGTACAAAGGACTTGGACATACAGCAGGCATGTGTGAGCATGTTGAATAAGAGTGAATGGAGACAAATGGTTTTTGGGGCTTGATGAGCTGTTGGAGTGTTAGCAGGGTAATATTTTGTGAAAGGATTCAGGAAAACTAGTTAAACAGATTTGAGTCCTAGAAGTGGGAAGTACAATGCTTGTATTTTAAAAAGAGGGGTTTGGGATACTAGCTGTCTGGAGTGACATCTGAACTGTCATATATGGGCACCTCTACAAAGACAGTGATTACGTGTGAATAATGGTGAAAGTGATTTTTTTTTTTTTTTTTTTTTTTTTGGGGGGGGGGGGGGATTTCACCCTGCCTAGGTAGGAGACGGCCAACATGTAAAAAAAAGCTAATGCTTATTTTTATTTTCAGGTAGTTGAATTATGCATGTTTTTTCTATTTTCAATCATCCTTCAAAGACTACAAAATATTTACTGAATGATGGAAATGTTCCAGTTAATTCAGTTTAATAATGGAGAGAGGTTTTGAACTATAAGTTTACATTTTTTAGTTTTCAAATTGTTTTATAAGTTTTATTTAAGCAGTAGTATGAGTGTTGGATATTCTAGTTTAATGTTTAATATAACTTGAAGTTATTAAGACTTATTTTGAAAACTGATTTCAGATGATGACTATCAGATTACTAAGTATGTACACTGATTCAGAAACTATTTTTTTTTTAATTTGTAAATCTCAAGTGGGTGCTTATAATTAGTACTGACATTGGCATCTCATTGGTATTGGAAAAATTTTGGTATCATCCCATCCTTAGACTTGAGGGCACACAAACAGTCTTTAAACAAAAATAAAGCCAGTAGAAAGCAAATTTTTAATGCAGTTTACAGTAAATTTTATCCAGAGAAAATGAGTATGGTGTTCCTTACTGAGAAAATTGGCAGTGTTCCACATAGCACATGACTATTCTAACTTCACAATTTCCCTATTTAAAGTGCTAAAAAATGACAAAAAATTGTTCATTCCTCCTAGTTGATACTGCCTGATGATGCACTACTACATTTCCTTAATTTTTTTCTTTCTTTTTTTTTTTTAAGATCCAGACTTTCATGCTTTATTCTTCTTCTCAAAACCTCAAGCATCACTAGTATTACTCTTGGGTGCCAGACACAATGTAAAGATTGAAAACAGATGAACACACTCAAGGCATGGAGGAGAAATAACCCATCAGCACAAATACAGCAAGAATTAGTACAAAAATCAAAATTTCAATCCTGGCATATTGGTTACAAGCTGCTTAGCTCCAGGAAACGTGGTGGTCTACGATAGAACGAAACTTAAGAAGAAAAAAAAAAAAAAAATTGCAACCTATAATAGTCCAGCAAAATGGCTAATTCAGAAAATATGTAAAGTTGAGTATATATCACAAATACATTCCACATTTTATATCTTAACATTTTCCTAGTTTTTCCTTCTGCTTAATTTGTATACACTACCTGGTGTGGAAATCACTAGTCTTTTCTCACATTCTTGTTTCTTAGTGCATGATACTGAATAAACATTGATACTTCAGCTGTTTGACAGGTACAGTAAATAGTGCCATTTTATACAATGTACTGGTAACTTCACCAGAAAAGTCAGGCCACTGGCCAAGTATCTTAAGAACTCTTGAAGCCATATAGCTATATGTAAATGATAAATCATTCATTCTAAAAATGAACCTTTTTAATGATGAGAATGTAGAAAAAAACATTAAAAGATTAGAACAAAAAAAAAAAAAAGCATTTCAGAAATTTCTGCCATGATCATACCATTTGTACTTGCAGAGGAAGGTGTTGAGTGTTGAGAATCTCCCTCACGTTTGATGCAAACTAAGCCTTTCTTTCGAAGACACTCCACAATCTCCAGTATCTAAAATATACATAAAAATCATAATTACATAATTAGCATACTTTACTACTACTGGTACCAACACCACCCCCACCTCCTCCTTTTGTACCCCTTTCTGTTATTCTACACTATGAAAAAGCTTTCAAAAAGCCCTTCAGTACTGCTGTTTCTCAATTTACAACTGTCACCTATTACTCTGTGGTTTCTAAGAAGTCTATGTACCTTTTGAAATACAGTATTCTATGACTTTATATAAGGTTCAGGGGATTGGACATGCTGTTGAACCTAACATCTTGCTCTATCATTAAAGGCACACTTGTTCTGAGTGGCAATGCCCTGCATTTTCTTTACGAGTAATTCAGTACAAATGAATTATTCTTAGCTGGTCTCTGATATACTGAGTGTGAACAAGGAATCATTTATGAAGGGATTCAGGGAAAACCTGTTAGAGACTTGAGTTCTGGAGGTGGTAGTAATAAAAAAGATGGAGAGAATAGGATCTGTTAAAAGTTAATGACAAAAGGGAGGCAGTGTTTTCATACACTGGAGTAGAAAAAAGCCAGAGGAATGTGTGGGAAATGTGCCTCAGACAGCAGATAGGATGAAAGGAGTTAAAGCAGCTGGAACAGATGCTTTCAGCATCTTGGCCTTATGTAAAGTAAAAGGACACAAGTGCAACTAATGTGACATTTTATTGTGGCAAGGTTTCACTCTCCAGGAGCTTTATCAAGCCATTAGCCTGGAGAGTGAAACGTTGCCACAATAAAATGTCACATTAGTTGCACTTGTGTCCTTTTACTTTACATATTGTCGGTAATTCTACCAACTTTATTACAATCTTGGCCTTAGAAAAGGAATATGATAGGGTGGACAGGGGAGCACTGTGGCAGATGTTTCAAGTGTATGGAATAGATGGTAAGTTACTAAATGCTGTTAAGCATTTTTATAAGGATAGTGAGACTTGGGATTAAATTATAGGGAATCAAATACAAAATGGGAATTGACACAGTTGCTTTTTGGTGATGATACTGTGCTTATGGGAGATTCTAAAGAAAAATTGCAAAGGTTAGTGGACGAGTTTGGGAGTGTGTGTAAAGGTACAAAGCTGAAAGTGAACATTGAAAAGAGTAAGGTGATGAGGGTATCAAATGATTCAGATAAAGAAAAATTGGATATTAAATTGGGGAGGAGGAGTATGGAAGAAGTGGATGTTTTCAGATATGTACTTGGGAGTTGATGTGTCGGTGGATGGATTTTTGAAGGATGAGGTTAATCATAGAATTGATGAGGGAAAAAAAGGTGAGTGGTGCATTTGAGGTATGTGTGGAGACAAAAAAAAACGTTATCTATAGAGGCAAAGAAGGGAATGTATGAAAGTATAGAAGTACCAACACACTTATATGGGTGTGAAGCTTGGGTTGTGAATGCAGCAGCGAGGAGGCGGTTGGAGGCTGCGGAGATGTCCTGTCTAAGGGCAATGTGTGGTGTAAATATTATGCATAAAAATTCGGAGTGTGGAAATTAGGAGGAGGTGTGGAGTTAATAAAAGTATTAGTCAGAAGGCTGAAGAGGGGTTATTGAGGTGGTTTGGTCATTTAGAGAGAATGGATCAAAGTAGAATAACATGGAGTGTGTTTAAATCTGTAGGGGAAGGAAGGCGGGGTTGGGGTCGTCCTAGAAAAGGTTGGAAGGAAGGGGTAAGGGAGGTTTTGTGGGCGAGGGGATTGGACTTCCAACAGGCGTGCATGAGCGTGTTCAATAGGAGTGAATGGAGACAAATGGTGTTTGGGACCTGACGATCTTTTGGAGTGTGAGCAAGGTAATATTTAGTGAAGGGATTCAGGGAAACCGGTTATTTTCATATAGCCGGACTTGAGTCCTGGAAATGGGAAGTACAATGCCTGCACTCTAAAGGAGGGGTTTAGGACATTGGCAGTTTGGAGGGATATGTTGTGTATCTTTATACATATATGCTTCTAAACTGTTGTGTTCTGAGCAACTCTGCAAAAACAGTGATTATGTGTGAGTGAGGTGAAACTGTTGAATGATGATGATAGTATTTTCTTTTTGGGGATTTTCTTTCTTTTTGAGTCACCCTGCCTCGGTGGGAGACGGCCAACTTGTTAAAAAAAAAAAAAAAGTGAGACTTGGGTTAGGATATATAGGAGAGATGATGATTTTCCAGTAAACGTTAGGCCTTAGATAGGGATGCATTATGTCACCATGGTTTTTTGACATTTTTACAGATTGAATTGTAAAGGAGATAAGTGATAGGATATTGGGTTACAATATACAGAATCTAATACAAAATTGGAGTTGTAACAGCTGCTGTTTGCTGACAGCACTGTGCTTTGGGGAGATTATGAGGAGAGGTTGCAAAGACCAGTGGATGAATTTTGGGAGTGGACGTGTCAGCGGATGGGTCTATGAAAGATGAGGTGAATCATAGAATTGATGAGGGAAAAAGAGTGAGTGGTGCACTTAGGAGTCTGTGGAGACAAAGAACTTTGTCCTTGGAGGCAAAGAGGGGAATGTATGAGAGTATAGTTTTACCAACGCTCTTATATGGGTGTGAAGCGTGGGTGATGAATGTTGCAGCGAGGAGAAGGCTGGAGGCAGTGGAGATGTCATGTCTGAGGGCAATGTGTGGTGTGAATATAATGCAGAGAATTCGTAGTTTGGAAGTTAGGAGGAGGTGCGGGATTACCAAAACTGTTGTCCAGAGGGCTGAGGAAGGGTTGTTGAGGTGGTTCGGACATGTAGAGAGAATGGAGCGAAACAGAATGACTTCAAGAGTGTATCAGTCTGTAGTGGAAGGAAGGCGGGGTGGGGGTCGGCCTAGGAAGGGTTGGAGGGAGGGGGTAAAGGAGGTTTTGTGTGCGAGGGGCTTGGACTTCCAGCAGGCATGCGTGAGCGTGTTTGATAGGAGTGAATGGAGACAAATGGTTTTTAATACTTGACGTGCTGTTGGAGTGTGAGCAAAGTAACATTTATGAAGGGATTCAGGGAAACCGGCAGGCCGGACTTGAGTCCTGGAGATGGGAAGTACAGTGCCTGCACTCTGAAGGAGGGGTGTTAATGTTGCAGTTTAAAAACTGTAGTGTAAAGCACCCTTCTGGCAAGACAGTGATGGAGTGAATGATGGTGAAAGTTTTTCTTTTTCGGGCCACCCTGCCTTGGTGGGAATCGGCCGGTGTGATAATAAAAATAAAATAAATGTAAAGGAAGGAAATTAAAAGTGAACATAGGAAAGAGCAAGATGACGGGGGTAATGAAAGACTGGATATCAGATTGGAAGGGGAAAGGTATAGAGGAAGTGAAGGTGTTCAACTATTTGAGAGTGGACTTGTCAGTGGATGGGTATATAAAAAAATGGGGTGAACCATAGAACTGATGAAGGGAAAAAGGTGGGTGGTGCATTGTGGCATCTGTGAAGACAAAGAATATTATCCATGAAGGCAAAGAGGACAATGTATGAGAGTATAATGGTACAACACTAATATGGGTGTGAGACATGGGTTGTGAATGTTGCATCAATGAGGAGGTTGGAGGCAGTGGAGATGTCGTGTATTATCCTGAGGGCTGAGGTGGTGTTAGTACCCCTATACTTTTATACATTCCCTTCTGTGCCTCTGTGGATAATGTTCTTTGTCTCCACAGATACCTCAATGTGTAATTGTACAGCTGAATGCAAGGAGATCTTGGGTTTCACTCTATTTAAAATTATCACCTTTGATCCAAGGAATTTACGTACAAATTTGTCGTCCTAGCATTTCTTAATTATATATATTAAGTATGAAATATAATTAGATAAATCTTCTTTCAACAAACCGGCCGTATCCCACCGAGGCAGGGTGGCCCAAAAAGAAAAACAAAACAAATTTAGTAATTTACACAGAAGGGGTTCCTAGCACCTTGCTCCCGGCATTTTAGTCGCCTCTTACAACACACATGGCTTACGGAGGGAGAACTCTGTTCCACTTCCCCATCGAGATAGGAAATAAACAAGAACAAGAACTAGAAAGAAAATAGCAGAAAACCCAGAGGGGTGTGTATATACAGTGGACCCCCGGTTAACGATATTTTTTCATTCCAGAAGCATGTTCAGGTGCCAGTACTGACCAAATTTTTTCCCATAAGGAATATTGTGAAGTACGTTAGTCCATTTCAGACCCCAAACATACACGTACAAACGCACTTACATAAATACACTTACATAATTGGTCGCATTTGGAGGTGATCGTTAAGCGGGGGTCCACTGTATATGCTTGTACATGTGTAGTGTGGCCTAAGTGTAAGTAGAAGTAGCAAGACGTACCTGAAATCTTGCATATTTATGAGATAGAAAAAAGGACACCAGCATTCCTACCATCATGTAACACAATTACAGGCTTTTGATTTACACTCACTTGGCAGGACGGTAGTACCTCCCAGGGCGGTTGCTGTCTACCAACCTACTACCTATTTACAAATATTGTCAAATAATAAGTCAAGACTGTATTAATAAGGTATGTAGGAATGGTTATTAATGCATTCATGAAAACAAGGCAGGGCTGGTCACAGGTGTGACTGGCTCACAGTACCTTTCGAAAGCATCATACTGGTATGAACACATTTCTTACACAGCTGCTGGTAAATGAGTTTTTTCCACCAAATGCCAGGTATTGAAGCTTGAAGACAGTCATAACCTATGGCTAGAACAAATCACAAATAACCAATACTTAAAAGAGAAAACTTGTGATGTTTTGGTTCATTGTGGACTGATGTCAAGTTATGAGTAAGCGAGAAAAAGCAAACATCTCAAAAAAGGTAGAGAAAGAAGGCAAAACAAGCAGTAGTAGTAATAGTACTAGAAAAAATAATACTGGAAGGAGCAATGCTGATGGTGGTAGTAGAAATACACAAGTACTATAGTAGTGGTAGTAACAGTAGGTACAGAAGTGGGAGTTACAGTAATACTAAAAGGAAATAGCTGTAACAGCAGTAATAGTAGAAGTAATAATAAGAAATAGTAGTAATATAAAAATTAAAAGAGCTTTGTTTCGTTCATGGGAAACAAAAAAATACTCTAGCAGCCTGAATTAACGAGTCTGTAATGAAGCTAAACTGATTATTATAATTATTAATAGCTTGGTTAATCAGGTGATAATGAAAGCTCAGCCTCAGATCATGTAGCAAGAGCAGGTAATCTCACAAAACCAGAGTCACAAGTATTATTTTGCATTTATTCACTTTGTGCACTAAGCTAAATTATCCAGTTTCAGCATAAAAAAAAAAAGTTCTGCCATCTTACCTTAGTATCTAAATCTATTTTGTTAGTTGGTTTCTGCAATGCCAGTAATGAAAAAGAAGTCAGACGTTTCAACTCTGAGATAGACACAGCAACACCAAGACCCATGGATGAGAATAAGAGTGATGTTAATCCTTTATCTTCGTTATCAGTCAAGGTAGAACAACACACCTCCACTGAGGTCAGGAATAAGGATTTGGCCTGAAATAATCACATGAATTACTTATCAAAAACTTACACAGTACTACAAAACACCACACAATATTTATTTGTTTCTTTCTCTCTCTCTCTCTAATGAAAAAAGAAGGTGAAAGAAAGGCATATAGACTCACATCATGCATACACATCAATCAAATTACTTACACACAAAAAGTAATAGTAAACCCTCCATTTAATGGACTTCAGAAATTATTTTATTTTTTTATTATCACACCGGCCGATTCCCACCAAGGCAGGGTGGCCCGAAAAAGAAAAACTTTCACCATCATTCACTCCATCACTGTCTGTGATGGAGTGAATGATGGTGAAAGTTTTTCTTTTTCGGGCCACCCTGCCTTGGTGGGAATCGGCCGGTGTGATAATAAAAAAAAAAAATAAAATAATTTCTGAAGTCCATTAAATGGAGGGTTATATTTTGCATTTATATTTTGCATTCGGTATTCAGAAATACCGAACAAAATCCATATTCGACAGATTTGGAAACAACAGTCTTCTGTATGGAGAATTGTTCATTACTGTTACAATCAGGGCAAAATAATATTTTCTCTATCCACCACAACTATCATTGTTGGTCACCTACTCCCCCACTTAATCTGTAAAATAGGTTTACTGTATTTTTCTACTATGTTAGGGCCCTTATTATATCTCAATGAATCTTACAAGCAAATAAATATAGGACACTGTTTAGCTGGCAGTCTCCCACTGAGGAACAGTGACCCAATGTATTCATTGTCATTTACATAATTGCTGTCTTGCTATAAGCATGCTGACATCACAGCATAGTTCAGGTGGCCCTCTGAACTGCAACTTGAATTTTTTTTCTTTTAAGCATCTATATCCAAAAGAATTTTCCCACCAAACTGAAGGTCAATAGATGAGGTTTCTCCCAAACATCCTCTCCCCACTCATCCTTACTCTTTCCCTGTATCTCCACATTGTCAACCCCTAATTACTCATGGCCCTTATCATAACATATCTCAGAGTGAACTAAGAGTCATTATGGGATTTACAGAAGTGTAGGAGTTGGGAGTGTAGAGAAACATATTTAGAGTATGTGGGAGTTATACAAATACAAATTACAGAAGTGTGGAATTGAGTTGTAGGGGTGTGGAAGTGGTACTCTGGTATTTGCCCCTGCTGTTCTTGAAATACACTATGGAATATTCTGTTACTTTCATTTCACACTTCCATGTTTATTTCTTAAGTATTCCCTTATTTTTCCTCTAACCACAATTTTCTTTTTAATTTACCTGCTCTTATTTTGGTTGTTTTGTTCATCTGAGATTTTTCTGCTTGTTTTTCTAAGTTACTCATTGCTGGCTCTTTTTCTCATTTCACTATTCTTTGACACTGCTTGCACTCTGAACCATTTCTATGTTCTGTTCCAGAGTTTTGCCTTCTTGTATTTTTTAATTGAATCATGGATTCCTTTAATATGTCTCCCAGCTGTCTCCCACTAAAGTAGAGTGACAAAGAAAACACTTAGTGTCATTCATTTAAATTCTGTCTTGCCAGAAGCATGCTGACATTACAGTTCAGATGCCCCTCCTTCAGAGTGCAGGCACTGTACTTTGTTCCTCCAGGACTCAAGTCCAGCTAACAGGTTTCCCCTAATCCCTTCACAGATGTTACCTTGCTCTACAGCAAGGTAACATCCACTCCAAAAGCATGTCAAATCACAAAAACCACTTGCCTTCGCTCACTCCTATCTAACATGTTCACACAAGCTTGTTGGATGTTGAAGCTCCAAGCACTCAAAATATTCACCTCCCTCCGACCTTTCCTAAGACAACCCATACAATATTACCAATATAAATTTACAGTTGAAGTACTATAATTAGGTTTGGATACCTCTCTTATATGTTAAAAAATAAGTAAATGAACAAGTTTAATCAAACAGTTAAACCTGATCCAATTGTACAGTAAAAAGGCTTAAAAAAATTTTAAAAATTTATGTTTTTTTGGGGGGGTTTAAGATATTGACAGTTACCAAAAACATGAAAAATTGCAGAATTGTTAAACATAGCAGAAAATGCAAATGCAAAATATAACATTGAACAACACATAGGCTTTTATATTATTCAGACAATACTCAGTACTGAGTGATACCTTTTTTTCAAAAACAGACCTTCCAGACATCTTAAGACACAATGCTGCAAACACCTGCCACACAAGCATCCTCACAGGGAATACCAAACTTCTAATTTCTTTACTTAGAAAATAAATGACTGGTTTTCATACCTTAATTAGGTCCTGGGGTTGTAATACCAAAAAGCTCTCCCCAGATGTATCAAGTCCAGCACGTCCAGCTCTTCCTACCATTTGCTTGTACTTCGCTCTAGTCAAAAATTCTCTTCCTGTATATGGTGAACGAATTATTACCTGTTGAGATAAGAGGTATATACTGTTAACAGTTTTTTCTAGAATTTTGCTAGTTATTTAAATTGGATACCAAAAACATGCATCAAAAGCTCAAAATTCTATATCAACAATGCTTCAACTTCCTGAATTTTTTTTTAACATGTCGGCCATTTCCCACCGAGGCAGGGTGACCCAAAAAGAAAGAAAACCCAAATAAGAAAGAAAAAACTTTCATCATCATTCAACACTTTCACCATCATTCATACATAATCACTGTCTTTGCAGAGGTGCTCAGATACGACAGCTTAGATGTCACTCCAAACAGCCGATATCCCAAACCCCTCCTTTAACCCTTTGGGGGTCGACAGGTCCTCTCAGAGACTTGTTCTCAGGGTCGGCCAAATTTCAAAAAAAAAAAAAAAAAAAAAAAAAAAAATTATTTTTTCTTATGAAAAGATAATCTTTTCCCAATCATAATGACACCAAAAGTATGAAATTTGATGGAAAACTTACGGAATTATGCTCTCGCGAAGTTAGTGGTCTCGACGAAGTTTACGCATCAGCGATTTTGTCCACTTTGAGCCCTATTTTTGGCCAATTCCAGTGTACTAGTCGACAAAAATCATAACTATTTCGCTGGAACTCCATTTTTTCTATCGAATGAGTACAAGAAACCATCCATTTACCAATTTCAACTATCCAATAGTGTTCAGAATTTAGCAATTTTGCCAATTTCACACATATTTCAAAAGATGCCAATTTCTGAATAGTGTACAGAATACACAAGAAAAGACATTCCTGGCAGTAAAATAAGTTCTCTGTTCATTAGTCACATCCCCAGGCCCCTCTTACATTTCTTTGGCTTTCCACTTTTAATTTTTATTCTTACAAAAAAAAAAAAATAAGATTTACTGTTATGCAGACTATTGCATTAGTGTAGAAATGGTATAAATAATATCAGCGTACTTGTGAAAGAATATTAGATTCACCAGTTGATGTGTATTGGACGCTTGGCATGATTTGTTTACTTTTGAACTTTGGTAAAAATCAAACATTTCTGCTACTTTGAGCTCAATTTCAAGGTACTTTTCATTGTAAAACCAGTCAAAATCATCTCAATTTCTGTAATATGTCTTCCATTCTATAAAATGAGACCAAGAAAACTAGAATACAACAATAAATACCATACAAAAATACAGTGCAAAGTCGCTGTTTTAATCCAAAAACACGGTCAAAGTTTTTTTTTTTCTCATTACGCACTGTGTGCTGCAGGATTTTTTTTATACTGCGCACACTGACCCATTCTTACATATGTAGGCCTACCAGCTTTCTCTCACTAGATTTGAGGGCGCTAGAATTTAGGCGTACTAGTACGTCAAAAACCCTGGGTCGTAAGACGTACTAGTACGTCCAAAACCCCCAAAGGGTTAAAGTGCAGGCATTGTACTTCCCACCTCCAGGACTCAAGTCCAGCTAACCGGTTTCCCTGAATCCCTCCACAAAATATTACCTTGCTCACACTCCTCCAGCTAGTCAAGTCCCAAAAACCATTCATCTCCATTCACTCCTATCTAACACACTCACGCACACTTCCTGGAAGTCCAAGCCCCTCACCTACAAACCCTCCTTTATCCCTTCCCTTAATTTTTTTTTTTTTTTTTCAACAAGTCGGCCGTCTCCCACCGAGGCAGGGTGACCCAAAAAAGAAAGAAAATCCCCAAAAAGAAAATACTTTCATCATCATTCAACACTTTCACCACACTCACACATAATCACTGTTTTTGCAGAGGTGCTCAGAATACAACAGTTTAGAAGCATACACATATAAAGATACACAACATATCCCTCAACGAACTTTGCAACATCAACTCTAAGCAAGTACAGTAGGGCCCCACTTTAGAGTGTTCCGCTAATACTGACATTTCAAGTTATGACCAAAACTCTACACAGCTTCCCCTCCCCACCTGACTTTCTAATACGGTCACTGCAGGCCACCCAGTTCACTTACATTCTCCATGAGCACGACTCTCCATTATGTCTGGAAACTTTCCAAAATTTCAAGTGTTTTAAAGTTATGTATTTCATATTTTATATATACTCTGAAAATTACACTTATGTGTACTAAAAGTATTAGTCAGAGGGCTGAAGAGGGGTTGTTGAGGTGGCTCGGTCATTTGGAAAGAATGGCACAAAGTAGATGACTTGGAGAGCGTATAAATCTGTAGAGGAAGGAAGGCGGGGGAGGAGTCATCCTCGAAAATGTTGGAGGGAGGGGCTAAAGGAGGTTTTGTGGGCAAGGGGCTTGGACTTCCAGCAAGCATGCGTGAGCCTGTTTGTGAATGGAGACGAATGGTTTTTGGGACCTCATGAGCTGTTGGAGTGTGAGCAGAGTAATATTTTGTGAAGGGATTGAAGGAAACCGGTTAGCCGGACTCGAGTCCTGGAAATGAGAAGTACAATGCCTGCACTCTAAAGGAGGGGTTTGGGATATTGGCAGTTTGGAGGGATTGTTTTATCATACAGTGGACCCCCGCATAACGATTACCTCCGAATGCGACCAATTATGTAAGTGTATTTATGTAAGTGCGTTTGTACGTGTATGTTTGGGGGTCTGAAATGGACTAATCTACTTCACAATATTCCTTATGGGAATAAATTCGGTCAGTACTGGCACCTGAACATACTTACGGAGTGAAAAAATATCGTTAACCGGGGGTCCACTGTATTTTATGCTTCTAAACTGTCATATCTGAGCACCTCTGTAAAGACTGTGATTATGTATGAGGTGAAAGTGTTGAATGATGATTAAAGTATTTTCTTTTTGGGGATCTTTCTTTCTTTTTGGGTCACCTTGCCTCAGTGGCAGGGTGACCAAAAAAGAGAGAGAGACATCTGAACGTGCAGTGAATTTTCAGAATTTTTTCCATTTTTTTTTTTAATATTTTAAATTTCCTGTCTAATACATTAAATTCACCATCTAACATCATTATGAAGTGGGAGAAGTTATTGGAGGGATGAGGAGGCCAGTACGTAGTAGCATTCAGTCTCTGGTGAATCGTCATGGGTGTTGGATGTTAGCTGTGGCGCTAATAAAATGTGTAATTGCGCTTATATTAGTAATAAGGGTTATTTGTCTATCACATTTATTCCAAATTGATATCAAAAACACAATACCCTAGAACTGTAATAAAGATGCTGAAATGAGTAATATTTTTTTTTTTTTTTTTTTTTTTTTTTTTTATTATTATCACACTGGCCGATTCCCACCAAGGCAGGGTGGCCCGAAAAAGAAAAACTTTCACCATCATTCACTCCATCACTGTCTTGCCAGAAGGGTGCTTTACACTACAGTTTTTAAACTGCAACATTAACACCCCTCCTTCAGAGTGCAGGCACTGTACTTCCCATCTCCAGGACTCAAGTCCGGCCTGCCGGTTTCCCTGAATCCCTTCATAAATGTTACTTTGCTCACACTCCAACAGCACGTCAAGTATTAAAAACCATTTGTCTCCATTCACTCCTATCAAACACGCTCACACATGCCTGCTGGAAGTCCAAGCCCCTCGCACACAAAACCTCCTTTACCCCCTCCCTCCAACCCTTCCTAGGCCGACCCCTACCCCGCCTTCCTTCCACTACAGACTGATACACTCTTGAAGTCATTCTGTTTCGCTCCATTCTCTCTACATGTCCGAACCACCTCAACAACCCTTCCTCAGCCCTCTGGACAACAGTTTTGGTAATCCCACACCTCCTCCTAACTTCCAAACTACGAATTCTCTGCATTATATTCACACCACACATTGCCCTCAGACACGACATCTCCACTGCCTCCAGCCTTCTCCTCGCTGCAACATTCATCACCCACGCTTCACACCCATATAAGAGCGTTGGTAAAACTATACTCTCATACATTCCCCTCTTTGCCTCCAAGGACAAAGTTCTTTGTCTCCACAGACTCCTAAGTGCACCACTCACTCTTTTTCCCTCATCAATTCTATGATTCACCTCATCTTTCATAGACCCATCCGCTGACACGTCCACTCCCAAATATCTGAATACGTTCACCTCCTCCATACTCTCTCCCTCCAATCTGATATTCAATCTTTCATCACCTAATCTTTTTGTTATCCTCATAACCTTACTCTTTCCTGTATTCACCTTTAATTTTCTTCTTTTGCACACCCTACCAAATTCATCCACCAATCTCTGCAACTTCTCTTCAGAATCTCCCAAGAGCACAGTGTCATCAGCAAAGAGCAGCTGTGACAACTCCCACTTTGTGTGTGATTCTTTATCTTTTAACTCCACGCCTCTTGCCAAGACCCTCGCATTTACTTCTCTTACAACCCCATCTATAAATATATTAAACAACCACGGTGACATCACACATCCTTGTCTAAGGCCTACTTTTACTGGGAAAAAATTTCCCTCTTTCCTACATACTCTAACTTGAGCCTCACTATCCTCGTAAAAACTCTTCACTGCTTTCAGTAACCTACCTCCTACACCATACACTTGCAACATCTGCCACATTGCCCCCCTATCCACCCTGTCATACGCCTTTTCCAAATCCATAAATGCCACAAAGACCTCTTTAGCCTTATCTAAATACTGTTCACTTATATGTTTCACTGTAAACACCTGGTCCACACACCCCCTACCTTTCCTAAAGCCTCCTTGTTCATCTGCTATCCTATTCTCCGTCTTACTCTTAATTCTTTCAATTATAACTCTACCATACACTTTACCAGGTACACTCAACAGACTTATCCCCCTATAATTTTTGCACTCTCTTTTATCCCCTTTGCCTTTATACAAAGGAACTATGCATGCTCTCTGCCAATCCCTAGGTACCTTACCCTCTTCCATACATTTATTAAATAATTGCACCAACCACTCCAAAACTATATCCCCACCTGCTTTTAACATTTCTATCTTTATCCCATCAATTCCGGCTGCCTTGCCCCTTTCATTTTACCTACTGCCTCACGAACTTCCCCCACACTCACAACTGGCTCTTCCTCACTCCTACAAGATGTTATTCCTCCTTGCCCTATACACGAAATCACAGCTTCCCTATCTTCATCAACATTTAACAATTCCTCAAAATATTCCCTCCATCTTCCCAATACCTCTAACTCTCCATTTAATAACTCTCCTCTCCTATTTTTAACTGACAAATCCATTTGTTCTCTAGGCTTTCTTAACTTGTTAATCTCACTCCAAAACTTTTTCTTATTTTCAACAAAAATTTGTTGATAACATCTCACCCACTCTCTCATTTGCTCTCTTTTTACATTGCTTCACCACTCTCTTAACTTCTCTCTTTTTCTCCATATACTCTTCCCTCCTTGCATCACTTCTACTTTGTAAAAACTTCTCATATGCTAACTTTTTCTCCCTTACTACTCTCTTTACATCATCATTCCACCAATCGCTCCTCTTCCCTCCTGCACCCACTTTCCTGTAACCACAAACTTCTGCTGAACACTCTAACACTACATTTTTAAACCTACCCCATACCTCTTCGACCCCATTGCCTATGCTCTCATTAGCCCATCTATCCTCCAATAGCTGTTTATATCTTACCCTAACTGCCTCCTCTTTTAGTTTATAAACCTTCACCTCTCTCTTCCCTGATGCTTCTATTCTCCTTGTATCCCATCTACCTTTTACTCTCAGTGTAGCTACAACTAGAAAGTGATCTGATATATCTGTGGCCCCTCTATAAACATGTACATCCTGAAGTCTACTCAACAGTCTTTTATCTACCAATACATAATCCAACAAACTACTGTCATTTCGCCCTACATCATATCGTGTATACTTATTTATCCTCTTTTTCTTAAAATATGTATTACCTATAACTAAACCCCTTTCTATACAAAGTTCAATCAAAGGGCTCCCATTATCATTTACACCTGGCACCCCAAACTTACCTACCACACCCTCTCTAAAAGTTTCTCCTACTTTAGCATTCAAGTCCCCTACCACAATTACTCTCTCACTTGGTTCAAAGGCTCCTATACATTCACTTAACATCTCCCAAAATCTCTCTCTCTCCTCTGCATTCCTCTCTTCTCCAGGTGCATACACGCTTATTATGACCCACTTCTCGCATCCAACCTTTACTTTAATCCACATAATTCTTGAATTTTACACATTCATATTCTCTTTTCTCCTTCCATAACTGATCATTTAACATTACTGCTACCCCTTCCTTTGCTCTAACTCTCTCAGATACTCCAGATTTAATCCCATTTATTTCCCCCCACTGAAACTCTCCTACCCCCTTCAGCTTTGTTTCGCTTAGGGCCAGGACATCCAACTTCTTTTCATTCATAACATCAGCAATCATCTGTTTCTTGTCATCCGCACTACATCCACGCACATTTAAGCAACCCAGTTTTATAAAGTTTTTCTTCTTCTCTTTTTAGTAATTGTATACAGGAGAAGGGGTTACTAGCCCATTGCTCCCGGCATTTTAGTCGCCTCATACGACACGCATGGCTTACGGAGGAAAGATTCTTTTCCACTTCCCCATGGACAATAGAAGAAATAAAAAAGAACAAGAGCTATTTAGAAAAAGGAGGAAAACCTAGATGTATGTATATATATATATGCATGTGCGTGTCTGTGAAGTGTGACCAAAGTGTAAGTAGGAGTAGCAAGATATCCCTGTTATCTTAGCGTGTTTATGAGACAGAAAAAGAAAACCAGCAATCCTACCATCATGCAAAACAGTTACAGGTTTTTGTTTCACAGTCATCTGGCAGGACGGTAGTACTTCCCTGGGTGGTTGCTGTCTACCAACCTACTACCTATATGAGTAATATATGCCATATTATGTGAGGGGTAAGGGCGGAGGCTGCCGTTCTCTCGTCTGTACCTCTGGTCTATAACGAAAGAAAACTGTGTTTACATCAGGGTAAACACTCCTAGATCACTCTTATAAAAAAAAAAAAAAAAAAAAAAATGAGCGGTTTTTCCCGATTTTTTTTTTCCGAGTCATATGCTATGCTGCCTCATTGCATCTTAAGAAAAGATTATATTCAGTGAAAAGGTATGTCGATGGTAATAATAATTTATAATAATAATAATTTATAATAATAATAAATCGCTCTGGAGCACTTTAAATGTCATGCATATTTCATATAGATTTGGTAGCTGACATTAAAGCACTCCAGAGCGATTATTATTATTTTTATTATGATTATTACCATCCAAATACCTTGTTCACTGAGTTTAATCATTTCTTAAGCTGCCACAATACACCAAGAATGTAAACACACACAAACACACCAGCTAACCCTCTTACTGTGAACTTCTTTTGTACTTCTTCCCTTTTCCTCTCATTTGCTGTATTCCTAACTATTTTCTACTATGGGATGCACAATAAAGTACAAATTTGTATACGAAATATGTGGTCTTGGAGATTGCTTGATGCTTAGATGCATCACTGACCCCTTGACAATGAACTTGTTTTGTACTTCTTCCATTTTCCTGTTGTTTATCCTCTTCCAAGAGGAAAAACAACAGGGAATTTGTACAAATATGTAGTCTTGGAGACTGAAAGCCAGTGTACTGAGTGGCTGTAGGAAGGAGATTCAGATGCTTGACGCTAAGATGCTGCCCTGCCCGTTCATGACCCAAGTTCTTGTACAGTATACAATAACGACTCATCAGAGAGCCCATCCTAACTCCGAGTTGTAGGTAAATGAGTATGTCAGTAAATGAGGCGAGGCTGTATTACTATAGGTGATCATCTGTTAATTTTTATGGCACTGGTACCAGCAAATATTTTACTAATGTCCCATCCACATCCACATAAAATAATGTACAAAAATAATTTGTAGTTGCCTTATTAAGCTTACAAAAGATAGTATGAATAGTGAGGTAGAGGATAATTCTCATGTGAACAGGAAAAGTAAAAAATTATCAAAATTTTAAGAGAAATCTAGAACAGAACATTCACTGTAACACAATGTTATTTTTTTATATACATTACTAGAGTCCTGCTCCTTCCTATGACTTACTTTACTTATTTACTCCCTACAGAAGAGAATGGGGAGAGGGGGGGAGGACATAAACACCTTACAAACAGGTGGGTATGGGCGAGAACTGAGCACTTGTAACCTATCGGAACATTATTTCTTTCAGTGTATTGTACACAAACCTTCTCCATAATTTTAAAGAACTTCATAATATCCTTAAATGATAAATAACTGAATGAGCTGTCATCTACTTACTCTTCGAGCAGGTAAGTTAACACCAGCAGCAAGGGTTGAAGTGCAGCACAAGCAACACAATGTTCCCGTCAGGTAACCTTCCTCCAGAAGCCGTCTTTCACCTTCTGTTAACCCTTTCATAAATTTATCAATTAATATCTTTTATACAAACGACCACAGAAAATAAGTAATAAATTACCCGAGAAAATACCTCCCAGGAAAGAACTGGTACAGGTCCCCCTCAACATTTGTGTTTTCCACTTTCACAGGCTTCGAACATTTGCAAATTCCCAGCCACCCAATCATATTTTAAATATGTTATTACATGTGTTAGAAATTGTGGCGGTGGCAGTTTGTTTGGAGATAGGACAAGATAGTCCTACTCCTTCAATATGACACTAATATCAACTCTACGGCTTATTTATCTATCACAATTCATCTAATATGACATAATAAACAATATTAATAACAGAAACATGACATATACTCTAGAATGAATAAAATACATCATTAAATATGTCACAAGTGTTGCTGTGTTGTTGTTCGGTGTATAAGGGCCACTGAAAGTATAGGCCATACATGGTGGTGGTGGAGGCAGCAGCAGAAGTAGAGGCTAGAGATAGCAGTTATCAGTCGCCCTATATAATTCCAACAACATTGGAGGAGTCAGTTTTGTGCTGTCATTTTTCTTTAAATTAATCGCTTAACCCTTTCAGGGTCCAAGGCCCAAATCTGGAGTCACGCACCAGTGTCCAAGAATTTTCAAAAAAAAAATTTATTTTTTCTTATGAAATCATAGAGAATCTTTTTGTGAAGGTAATAAAACAAAAAGTACGAAATTTGGTGGAAAATTGACGAAATTATGCTCTCGCGAATTTTGATGTGTCAGTGATATTTACGAATCGGCGATTTTGCCGACTTTGACTCCCATTTTAGGCCAATTACATTATTCCAATCAACCAAATTCTTAGCTATTTCACTAGTATTACTTCTATTCTATCAATTGAGCACAAGAAATCGCCAAGTCAACTGTTTCAACTACAAAATAAAGTGATCGGAAATTGTTAATTTGGCCAATTTAACACAAAGTTCAAAATATTCCAATTTCAAAATAGGGTCCAGAATGAACAATGTAGGCATTCCTGGCACTAAACTAACATTTCCTCTGTTCATTAGTTATGTTTTGAGGCTTTACAAATAAATTCCATTTTTATTTTTTATTCACATAATGAATTTTTATTCACACCAAAAAATAGAAGATTTACTGTTATGCAATACTGTAATAATTGTATAAATATCATCACCATATTTGTGAATGTATATCAGACCCACCAGCTGACATGTATTAGACGTGTGAGGTCGTTTGTTTACTCTTGAATATCGGCAAAAATTTAACATTTCCGCTACTTTGAGCTCAGTTTCAAGCCATTTCCAATGCTAAAACCAATCAAAATCATCTCTATTTCTGTAATATGTCTTCCATTCTATCAAATGAGACCAAGAAATCGCAAATACAACTATAAAAAACATACGAAAAAACACTGCAAAGTTGCTGTTTTAATCGAAAAATCATGATTTCATTTTTTTTCTCTCATTATACACAGTATGCTGCAGGATCTGTTTTATGTGGTGCACACATACCACATAGATGTATTCTCTCATATCTAGGCCCAAATGTACCACTCACAGTTTATCAGAGTGAGCTGAGCTCATGGCGTAGATCTACGGTTTGGACCCTGAACGTAAAGCCGTAGATCTACGGGACGGACCCTGAAAGGGTTAACTTACTTGCTACACTGTTAATGCTACACTTTATCGCTGGCTGGTGCTATAGCCTTTATTGATTCGTGCTGCTTTAGTATCATACATACCAAAGGATCACTGAAAAAGGCACATTCTCCCCTCTCTCTTCCTCCTCCACTTTGGTATTCTGCTAAGTTCTTTCTTGAATTCTATAGTTTTTCTCACCTTTACCAAAGGGCTGGTACTAGTACAATATTTTATGATACATTCATGTGTTTTATGATTGTTCATAGTTCAATAGGTTAAGGAAGCAGTATTGTTAGGCTAAGTAAATGCTATTATTTTATTTCCGTACAATATATTTGTGCACCAAACATTCGTGATTTTTCAACATTCACAAGGTTCTTGATCCCCTAACCCTCACGAATGTGAAGGAAGACCTGTACTTTAGTGAAAAATGCTAAAAGCATTTTATTTATCCATTGATATTTAACCCTTAAACTGTCCAAACGTAGATCTACGTTTATGCGCATAGCGCTCCAACCTTGATTTTCTCCATTTGAAAGCAAGCAAAAAAAATCATAGATCTACATTTGAAGCGCTACGCGAGCAAACGTAGATCTACGTTTGGACAGCTTAAGGGTTAATAGTCTGCCAAATTTGCAAGCATTGGGCTCCTAGTTACTCATATATACCACATGCTTCTTTACCAGGATATAGTAAATCACTGCGCACACACACACCAAAGAATGAATTTGTCAGTTAAAAACAGAGTTGGGGAGCTAGAGGATGGGGAGCTGGAGGTATTGGGTAGATGACGGGAATATTTTGAGGAACTTTTAAATGTCGATGAAGAAAGGGAGGCGGTAATTTCATGCACTGGCCAGGGAGGTATAACATCTTTTAGGAGTGAAGAAGAGCAGGATGTGAGTGTGGGGGAGGTGCGCGAGGCATTACGTAGAATGAAAGGGGGTAAAGCAGCTGGAACTAACAGGATCATGACAGAAATCTTAAAAGCAGGGGTGGATATAGTGTTGGAGTGGTTGCTATTTTTGTTTAATAAATGTATGAAAGAGGGGAAGGTACCTAGGGACTGGCAGACACAATGTATCGTTTTTATATAAAGGGAAGGGGGAGAAAAGAGATTGTAAAAATTATAAGGATAGTGAGGCTCAGGTTAGGGTGTGTAGAAGAGAGGGAGACTACTTCCTGGTAAAAGTAGGTCTTAGACAGGGATGTGTAATGTCACCATGGTTGTTTAATATATTTATAGATGGGGTTGTAAAAGAAGTAAATGCTAGGGTGTTCGGGAGAGGGGTGGGATTAAATTATGGGGAATCAAATTCAAAATGGGAATTGATACAGTTACTTTTTGCTGATGATACTGTGCTTATGGGAGATTCTAAAGAAAAATTGCTAAGGTTAGTGGATGATTTTGGGAATGTGTGTAAAGGTAGAAAGTTGAAAGTGAACATAGAAAAGAGTAAGGTGATGAGGGTATCAAATGATTTAGATAAAGTAAAATTGGATATCAAATTGGGGAGGAGGAGTATGGAAGAAGTGAATGTTTTCAGATACTTGGGAGTTGACGTGTCGGCGGATGGATTTATGAAGGATGAGGTTAATCATAGAATTGATGAGGGGAAAAAAGGTGAGTGGTGCATTGAGGTATATGTGGAGTCAAAAAACATTATCTATGGAGGCAAAGAAGGGAATGTATGAAAGCATAGTAGTACCAACACTCTTATATGGGTGTGAAGCTTGGGTGGTAAATGCAGCAGCGAGGAGACGGTTGGAGGCAGTGGAGATGTTCTGTCTAAGGGCAATGTGTGGTGCAAATATTATGCAGAAAATTCGGAGTGTGGAAATTAGGAAAAGGTGTGGAGTTAATAAAAGTATTAGTCAGAGGGCAGAAGAGGGGTTGTTGAGGTGGTTTGGTCATTTAGAGAGAATGGTTCAAAGTAGAATGACATGGAAAGCATATAAATCTATAGGGAATGGAAGGCGAGGTAGGGGTTGTCCTCGAAAGGGTTGGAGAGAGGGGGAAAAGGAGGTGTTGTGGGCAAGGGGCTTGGACTTCCAGCAAGCGTGCGTGAGCATGTTAGATAGGAGTGAATGGAGACAAATGGTACTTGGGACCTGACGATCTGTTGGAGTGTGAGCAGGGTAATATTTAGTGAAGGGATTCAGGGAAACCGTTATTTTCATATAGTCGGACTTGAGTCCTGGAAATGGGAAGTACAATGCCTGCACTTTAAAGGAGGAGTTTGGGATATTGGCAGTTTGGAGGGATATGTTGTGTATCTTTATACGTATATGCTTCTAAGCTGTTGTATTCTGAGCACTTCTGCAAAAACAGTGATTGTGTGAGTGTGGTGAAAGTGTTGAATGATGAAAGCATTTTCTTTTTGGGGATTTTCTTTCTTTTTTGGGTCACCCTGCCTCGGTGGGAGACGGCCGACTTGTTGGGAAAAAAAAAAAAAAAAGTTTATTTAGTATACCAGGAAAAGTGTATGGTAAGGTTATTAATGAGAGAATTAGAGGTAAGACAGAGAGTAGGACTGCATATGAGCAAGGAGGTTTTAGAGTGGGTAGGAGATGTGTAGATATTTATAGATGAGGTTGTGAAAGAAGTAAATGCTAAGATGTTGGGGAGGGGTGGGATTAAATTATGGGGAATCAAATACAAAATGGGATTTGACAGTTACTTTATGCTGATGATACTGTGCTTATGGGAGAGTCTAAAGAAAAGTTGCAAAGGTTAGTGGACAAGTTTGGGAGGGTGTGTAAAGGTAGAAGTTGAAAATGAACATAGATAAGAGTAAGGTGATAAGGGTATCAAGTGATTTAAATAAAGAAAGAATGGATATCATATTGGAGAGGGAGTATGGAAGGAGTGAATGCTTTCAGATACAGTGGAACCTTGACTTACAAGTTTAATCCGTTCTGTGACCTAGCTCATAACTCAATTTACTCGTATATCAAATCAATTTTCCTCACTGAAATTAATTGAAAAGCCATTCATCCGTTCCTGCACTCTCGAGACAAGACAAAATACTTTAATATGACACTAATATCAACTGTATAGTTTATTTATCTATCACAATTCATCTAATATGACAAAATAAACAATATAATTAACACAAACATGATATATACTCTATAATGAATAAAATAGGCCATAATATGGTGGCAGAGGCAGTGGCAGAAGCGTCCGCCATTTCCTGTCTAACTTTGACTATAGTATCTTCCCATACTCTTATTGTAAGAGAAAACAGAGTATTTGTGAGGCTAATTGCAGAAATATCTTATATAAACACATAATACAGTGGACCCCCGCATAACGATGGCATCACATAGCGATTTTTCCGCATACCGATTACTTTTATCG